AAGTTATTATAAAATATAATATTTATACTAGTGGTGATTGGTTAAAAAAATACATGCATCTATCAAGTTAATTGTGTTGAACTAGTCTATTATCTACTCTTGTTTTAGCATTACATTATTTGCTTGTATTCAATTCGTTTTTGTGTTTAAGTAATTCATTGGTCGAAGTTCTTACAAAATATTTTAAAATTAAATAAAAATTCTTACAATTCTTTAATTTATTTTTAAAATGTTTTACACTTAATTTTTCAAAAAAATAGTTAAATTTTGAAAAAGAAAATAATGATTTTAACTACAATTCAAACCTTCTTTCGGGTAGTTTTTTTAGTGCTAACAAGATTTTCTTTTCAATGCTCTTTTTAATTGAAATATATATGGATCTCTAACTTTAAAATTGAGTCTCATATAAAGTGGTAAAATTTTCACAGGTTTCAATCAATAAAAAAAATAAGTTTTTAAAAGAGTGGTGAAAAGAAAATGTTTTTAGTTTTTTTTTTAACTATCAAAAATATGTGCTAACCAATGGTTGATATTTATTGCTTTAAAAATGTAATACAATTCTATTTATGGCATTCATAATGACAAATATTCCTTATACAATCGACTTTATCATCTTAACAAAACAAACATTCTTCTTTCATATAAAGAAAACCCAATTTTCAGAAATTTTATTTACTTCAAAGTAATTTCGATGTACCAAGATACTAGAAATGTCACCTAGGTTAGGCAACAAGTTTTAGTGACACATGGCTAGTAATCCATGTGTTTATGCTTCCTCAGCTGGCTATAAATCAAGCCATGCAAGTAACATATCACTCATCAAACTTCTCAAATAAACAAAACAAAAAAAAAATATGACATCCTACGTCACCGTTTTGTTTCTCTTCTTTGTCTTGTCCATAACCACTTCCTTTTGTCTCCAAGAAATGGAGATTCTCCAAATGGCCAAATCACAAGTTTCACAAGCCATGAATTGGGTTGATAACTCTATGAAATTGCATGGCTTGGAAAGTTTGAGTATGTCATCATTGAATCAAACAAGTGCTTTGGCTTTAAGAGATTGTGCTAAACTCTATGAGGAGAGTGAGTTTAGGCTTAGTCATATGATGTTTGAAAAGAGTAAGAGTGGTTATACTAAAGATGATGCTCTTATTTGGGTGAGTGCATTGATGACAAATCATAGGACTTGTTTGCATGGGTTGAAAGAAAAAGGATATGTTCAAGATAATCAAATTTTGGGTACAAACTTGACAAGTTTGCTTGGACAAATACTTGTTTTGTATTCAAAAAACAAAGTCAAAGGCAAAGGTAATAAGTTATTATAAATTATTAATTTAAAATAAAAAGTTATCAATAACTTTTAGAAAATTTTGTTTATTTTTTTAAATTTTCATATACTTTTAAGGAAGGTTTTTCCACTATAAAAGAGGGGTTGCCTTGTGTCTTTTCTTACATTTTCAAACTATTTTTTATCTAATCTATGTTTGGTTCTATGCCACAAAAATTAATTTTATTTATAAATGTGAATTGAATTTAAAGTAAATTAAACTTGAATATATTTACAAAACAAAATGAATTCAATAAATTTGAGAGTAAAATTTAATTTTACTTAAAAGTTATAAAATTTAACCTCAAACTAGAGACTAAATTAATTTTTCTCAATAAACAAATAAATAAGTCAAAATTAATACAAACATTAATAATCAATTTTAAATGACTCGAAAATAAAATTAATAATAGACTTACTAGAATTTTTCATATGTATAATATCTATTTCGTTAAAAGAAATGGAAATGTCAATTATTATAAAAGTAGAAATTTATAAAATTAATTATAGACTACAGAATTTTCACATGAAACTTTATTCTCATATTTACTCTATCATATTATTTTAAATGATAAAAATTACTACAATTTTTAAAATATAGTTCAACCTATGTATTAAATATAATTATTTGAAATGCTTATCTATTTTCACCTTATTATTCTTTCTTTACTCAAATCACTCAACGTTATTTTTTTCTGTCAATTCGTTTTCATCAGTGGTTTACACTATTTTAGGTGTAAAAGTCATATTTTTTCACTATCGCTTACATTATTTTTTTCACTATTAAATGACTATGGAAAATTCTTTTATATTTTCAAAAAAATTTATAAACTAATTACTCAACATATTTAATTTATCGAGAAAAACATTATAAAAAACAATTTAAATGGATTATATCCATAAGCGGTGCGGCGTATAGAAGCGCTTATCAAAACGTACTTGTCCTTCAATCTTTTTCAGATTTGTGATTTTCTACTAATACGTGTTTCAAAATGCTTCTACCTATATATAGCTTAGGAATTTTCAAGAATCTCAATATTTTCATCAAAAGTCAGAATATTGTTCTTTACTGCAAAAAAACAAACAAAAGAAATCAAAGAAGCTGACTAGAATATGCATTAAGTTCATAGTTTTTGTAAGGGTGTTGAAAACCAAACAGGTTTAATAAAAAATCATTAACCTATTTAAATCAAATAAAAAATTATATTTAATTCAAATGTATTTGGACTATTTTGGTTATGTATTATATTTATTTTTTAATTTTATAAAGTATGTAATAAATAATATGTACGTTATTTGTCCTTGTTTTGTTTTTCAGAAGAATCTGAGAGAGTTACAATATTAGAAGAAAAGAATGGACTATTAGAATCATGGAGTGTTACAAAGCATGAAGCAGATTTGACAGTGGCACAAGACGGTTCTGGAAGTTATAGAACAATAAAAGAAGCAGTTGATGCACTTGCTTCAAGGGGGCATAATCGTCCTTCAAGATTTGTTATACATGTAAAAGCAGGAGTGTATAATGAAAAAGTTGAGATCGGAAGTACGTTGCATAATGTTATGTTTGTTGGAGATGGAATTGATAGAACTGTTGTCACTGGAAATAGGAATGTGAAGAATGTTGGAACCACTCTTAACTCTGCCACATTTGGTAAGTTCTTTTAATTTCATTAAAACTAGAGGTGTCTATGATATATGCTAACATGATTTGGATTTGGTTACATGAAATAGATGTATCAGGGGATGGATTTTGGGCAAGAGACATAACATTTGAGAACACGGCAGGACCACAAAGCCACCAAGCAGTAGCCCTCAAAGTAAGTTCAGACTTATCAGTCTTCTATCGATGCAGCTTCAAAGCCTACCAAGACACACTCTACCTATTCTCGAATCGACAATTCTACCGTGACTGTCACATATACGGAACAATCGATTTCATATTCGGCGATGCAGCCGCGGTACTCCAAAACTGTGATATTACAGTCCGAAAACCAATGAGTCACCAATCAAACTATATTACCGCCCAAGGACGGGACAATCCCAATGAACCGACCGGATTTTCTATACAAAACTGTCGGGTTAGGCCCGATTCGGAGTTCGCTACGGTGAAGAATTCAGTGGAAACTTTTTTAGGTAGGCCTTGGAAGAGATATTCAAGGACAGTGTTTATGAAAAGTGATTTGGATGGTATGGTTCATCCTAAGGGGTGGGGTGAATGGGAGGGAAATTTTGCAATTTCAACTTTGTATTATGGTGAATATATGAATATTGGTGATGGTGCTTCTACTGAAAATAGGGTTAATTGGCCTGGTTTTCATGTGTTGAAGAGTGTTGAGGAAGCTTCACCTTTTACAGTGAGTAGATTTTTGCAAGGTGGAAATTGGATTTCAGCTTCTGGAGTGCCATTTGATTCTGGAATTTGAATCGGGAAAAAACTATGTATTAATAATAATGTGCTACTTAGGAGTTTGCACTATGTTATATATAGATATTTATATTTATAAATCCATGCTTATTCCTAAGATTTTGTCTTCTTTTCTTTCTTTCAGAGAATTATCCTAAATGATTATGTATGGATCTACCATAGTACAATGAACATGATCAAATTGTTGATTCAAACATTTTCTTCACAATCATCTAAGCTTATCAAAATTAAGATATTCTTAAATATTGTTAGTTGGACTGGTTCAAACATAACATAATATAAACTCTTGCTTTTAACCTTTTAAAGAAAACCACATTTTTCAAAGGTGTTTAGGATGTTTGTGGATGAGGTATTTAAAATATTTTAAGAAATTTATAATTTTAATCAATTTAAATGATTTAATTAAAAAAAAATGGATAGTATATGAAATTATTCATTAATAAATTTGAGTCATTTTTATAATTTTAAAATATTTTGGTCAAATATAAATCTTGCAAATATTTACCAAATTGTAATTTTTAAAAATTTAAAAGAACCCATTTATAAATTTTGAAAATTATTCAAAACAAATTTGTATTTTTTAGAAAAGAGTTAATTTGTAAAGTTTACAAAAATATGGAGACCAACTTATAAAACTTAAAATAATAATAATATTTAATTTGACAATAATAATATGAGACGAATTTCAAAATTTTAATTTTAAATGTCATCTTCAAATTATTAAATTTAACTTGAGCAAAATACTTCATAATTTTTATTATTTTAATAATTCTTTTTATTAAAACATTTTAAATTCATTCGAATAAATATTTTATTCAAACAAATTTTTATTCTTAGACTTCCAAACCAAAAATGTTTTCATGTTAATTAATAGTAATAATAAATTAGTGTGACACGATGTCTGCTTAGTCGAACCTCCGCCCCCACACCAGAGTCAAATTAAATGTCAAACCAAACTTCTTTTATTAAACCAGTTAAGCAACTGTTTTTTTTATAAGCAGATAGCAACTGTGAACTACTATTAAATCAGATAAGCTTTAATAACCAGACTACTTTGTTAAGTTGGGTAAACTTTGGCAAAAAAATAGACCATAATGGTAGCTTCTCTTTTAAGTGAGAGTACCAGCCAAACCTAATATAAAAAGATCTATATAACTTGCAGGTTCTATTATCAACCCAAAGTAGAAAGGAATAGTGTTTGGGTTCTAATCACAAGCAAAAATGAAAAAAAGCCCCAGCATTGATGAATCAGCCTGTATAGTCTTCATCTTCCGAGTCAATGTACAATTGTTCATCATCTTCTTCCTCCAAGTCATCATACAATTGTTCATCATCTTCTTCCAAGTCATCGTACAATTGTTCATCATCTTCTTCTTCCAAGTCATCGTTTGATTGTTCTTCCCCCATGGCGATATGATTTACCTACAAGATAAAAATACTAATATCAGCAAGCAAAAGACAACTTAGAACTAGTCATCAAACAGATTTTACTACTAGTAAGTGTATATGGGCACTCTTAACGCTTTAGCTCTCAATGAGGGTGATCAGCATTCCGTGTGGTAATGATTTAATATTCGGACAAAAGAATGATAATAAATGTAATCTATACGATGCGGGCAAAACATGACCCTGCGAGTAACACCCAAAAAAGTTTTTTTTTTTTTTTGTTTTCTGATATATGTCATACTCTCTTATAAAAAAAATACATAATAAATGCTTTGTAAGGAACCAGCCAACAAGGGAAATAGATTTGGGACGCGTGAGTGTCTTTAGTGTGTCCAATGAGGGTCTAAATTCTAAAGTGTGTCAAAGCAAAGGAAAAAAATGGTACTATTGTCTGACACGTTTTGTACGAGTGTCGTACGGATGTTGGACACTGGGACATGCCTCATCTCAGAGGTGTCCATGCTTCACAACAGTGGAGGAAGTGTGGTAAGAAATGAAAGGTGGAAACTATTGAGAGAAAATATTGTTTCAACTGTAAGGAAACCATACCGCGTGATTATTTAGGGCATGTGCAGATGCAGATGAATGCAGAGCATTGTTATTTTCATTTGGGGTTGATAACAAAGCTACCATATCCCCCATATCATGGCCTGAGTTGCTTTGGTTTATTAGCACGACCCTTAGAAGAACTTCCAATTTTCTCTCTATTGCTGACATTTCTTCACTGTGTTTAGTCTCCAACATTTCATGTTTTACCCTCATTTCTTGAACCTTTTCAGTTAAATTTTTAACTTCAGCAGCATGCTTCATTTCAATTTCTGCTATTTCTTTATTTCTTTTCAAGAGAGAAGGTGTTGTAACTCTTCCATGGCAGCGCACTCTTCCTGGTTTTTCTTTGCCGAAGACAGTTTGAAATGCCTCATCCGAAGACTGACCAGAATTTATAATCAAATTTTGAAGATTTGTCTAGCAAAATAAAGCAACATTAGTTAAGCATATAGATAATTATATTTGACTAGATAAAATTATAAAGAAAAACTTACGATTGTGTTACTTGTAACTTGGTCTAGCTCACTTCCTCTCTTGCTTTGTCGTGTTTCAATAAAAACCTCAGCTTGAGTCGGCGGCTCTCTATCATCCTTGGCTGCACGCTACGTAAAGCAAAATACGATTCATTAATCATCACTGACAGTAGAATTTAAATATTCGACATCCGGGGCAAGCTTCACAAGACCAAAATATGTAGATTTCTCCTTCCACTGAGGTCGTTGGTTTTAAGTGACAATAATATTAGTCATTCACATCCATTTATTCATCAACATCAGAATCTTCCTCTAGTAGTTGGTGTAGGTGGTTCCATTCTACAAGTGTGAACATTTTCAGAAAGAAATTTATTCAGTGGGGACTTGAATCCAATATGAAGCTTGCCCGAGATAGCCAAAAATTAGTCCTAACCAAACATAAAATTTACTTGTTTGCTAATAGTAGTAAAAATAAGATACCAGTTTTTCCCTTATGATAGCAAAGCTTATGGGACCCGCTCGATGTCTACATTTTTGTTGAGCTGTAATGTTAGCATTTTGCTGACTAATTTTCTGCACTCGTAAACTCAATTCGTTAAATCTGAAAATAATAATGTAGAACAATACACTATTCAAATTAAATTTATCTTACTTGAACGATTTCACAACTCCAATAATTCATTAATTTCTTAAAATGTGCTTCTGGTATGTTATCTGGACGGTTTTTCAGCCGATCATGCAAGTTTTCATACTTAGTGAAATGATTTCTCTTAATAGAATATTTGTACCGCCTCCATGCATCATTTATGATAGCATATACAACCTTCTCTCCTTTTTCTGGAACAATGTATTTTTTCTGCAAAGAAAAGAATCGTGATCAGACAAATATATTTTATCAGAATACCCAAACACACCTATTAGATGAGTTGTTACATTGACATAAGCCCATATGTTCTCCTTCTTCTTTGGTATAGCCTTCCAATTAGTGTAAGTAAGAGGACATAAATCTGACATCCGTGCTACTGATCCCAAAAAATTGCTGAATTCAGAAACTATCTTTTGAGTTGGTCCAATGGGCTCTCCTTCTTCATTTAAGGTGATTTTTTGTCTTTCAGCAAGTGACCGGGCATGAATTTCCAAGCACCGTGTCCTTCCTCTTTTCCTTTTTTTTTATGCTTCGCCTAGTTAACAGTACAATATCATACAAGTTATATATAAGATAAAGAAAGCAAATTGAGTTAACTATGATCATATGCATACACATCATTTGTACAGTCATGTTTTGCCTCAGACAGCATAAGAGATATATAAGGCTCAACCAACTCTATGATACAAAGCAGTATAGAATATAGCAGAAAAGAAAAAAAAGCAAACCCTATATATAGTATAAAATCATCTAATTTCATATAGGAATTAACTAACGGTGTAGTACAAAAGGGCTACCTTAATATAGATAGGAGGAGCCTATATCCTAACAATGGAACCCTATACAGATAGCTAAAAAACTAAGTACTAACAGATAGCTAACCAAGAACTAACACGGAAAGAGTGAACTAAGGGAAAGTATAAGTGATGAAGATGAAACATAGTAGGGTGTTACCTTCCATTGGATTGTTATTAGTTTTCTCACCGTCATCATTTCCATAGTTAATATCACCCTCAACATCACTATCATTATTTTCATAGTTAATATCACCCTCAACTTCAAGTCGGGGCTTATATACTTCGAAATAATCATCAAGTGACATGGATGGACACATTCGAGCAGTCTTTTGCTTCTTGAATGGTCCGTGATCAATATGGTCCTTTTGGAACTGAGCAGAAGATCGATTGCTTAATCCACCGAAAAGACTGTGGTCCTCTAGTTTAGTTTTTCAACACATGAAACAAAGAATAACAAAGTTCAGTAAGTCAGTATTAACAGTAAGACAGTAGAGTAACATGAGAGACAATACCCCAAAATATAAAATAAAATAAGGGAAAGAACAGTATTAGCAGTAAGTCAATTAGTTTACCATACAAAAAGCAATATCACTACTTCCTCCATTTCAAACATGCACATCTCTCTAATTTCCAATACTAATGTACTCTCAAGCTTCTCTTTAGTGTAGTGCATTAATTTTAACTTGTTAGTTAATGCATGAAGTAGAATGGGTTGTGTGCAGGGCAATTAAAAAGCCTAGTCCAAATCACAGGCCAGGTTTTGAATCATTGTATAGTAATAGTGGTCAACAACCAGAATGTAGCAGCCAACATCACAAAGGCCTCACAAATAACGAATGTAGTTATGAAAGGAGCAATAATAATAATGGACAAGTAATGATTGGAAAAGCATGTTTGAAAACCTGGCCTATGGTCTAGCTTTTTATGTTGTATTTGAGTAGATCCTACCACTTAACCTTTCAAACTAATTTCTGATTTTCCTCATGCACAGAAACCAGAGTCTAGCCCAACCTTACATAGACAACCAGAATCCAGTCCAATACACATAAGAAACCAAAATTCAGCTCAATACCACCAGCACTAACTATGAAGATTTACATCTTTCAATTGCCCTTAGAAAAGATACCAGAACATGTACCAACAAGCCACTCTACCCCCTTGATAAGAACATTACCTGGGAATTGGGTCTAATATCAAATGGAAGGAAAAAACGTGTAGGGTACAAATGAATACACACTAAAAAATACAAGATTGATGGATCTATTGAAAGATACAAGGCAGGGTTAGTAGCCAAAGGACTCACTCAAAATTATGGAGTAGCATACTCGTAGACATTTGCTCTAGATGTAAAAATGAATAATGCTTGTGTGCTATTTTCAATTGGAACTTGCACCAATTTCATGTAAATAATGCTTTCCTTCATGGATAACTTGGAGAAATAGACATGAACGTACCCCGTGGATACAGTAAACACACTGTTGAAAAAGGTCATGTGTAAAGTAAAATCACTTATTTCTATTCCACAAACTTTCTCCGTCTTCACACATGCACACTCTCTATAATTTCTAATTTTATTATACTTAAGCTTCTCTTTACTGTAGTAATTTGAACTTGTTAGTTAGTGCACGAAGACGGATAGATTGTGTGCAGTGCATTAAAAAGCCTGGTCCAAGTCACAGGCCAGGTTTTGAACCATTTTACCATGGTATAGTGATGGTAGTTTACAACCAGAATGTAGCAACCAAGAAAATCACAATGGCCTCGCAGATGAAGATTGCAGTGATGAGAAGGGGGGGGGGGGGGGGGGGGGGGGGGGGGGGGGCAATAATAATGGACAAGTAAAAGATTAGCAAAGCATGTTTGAAAACCTGGCCTGCTTTGAGCAGATCCTTCCACTTGGATTGAACTTCCAGCCGTAAATGATTGCTGTTTCCTTTGACCATGATTAGGAATGGATCTCCCAGCAGTTCCTATAGTAGTCTTCATTGTTTTCTGAGTTTTTGCTTGCTTCAAAGTAGAATGTTGTATTTGAGCAGATCCTGCCACTGGGATTGAACTTTCAGTTGTCAATGATTGTTGTTTCCTTTGATCAGGTTTGAGAATGGATCTCCCAGCAGTGTCTACAGTAGTCCTCATTGTTTTCTGATTTTTTGCTTGCTCTAAAGTAGAGCTTTGCTCCATCCCCTGCTTTGGAAAACATTGCATGCTTCTCTTCAGTGTTTTAGAACTTCTCAACTTGCCTCGATACAATTCAGCATTGGATTTTATACTGTCTGGAACATCTACTAACCTTTATCAATTGAAAAGTATAATTATTAGTAGAAATTGTGATAACTGACTGAAGTAAGCATAGTGTGTTCTAATAGCTGAAAAGGATTGCAAGTTCCTTCTTTTGATAATTCAACTCAGCCAACTGTTGGAGCAATAGTATTCCTGAAACAAAAAATTGTACTTACGGTTCTCCACTAGAAGGTAGCATGGGAAGTTTGAGTTGTGGACTAATGTAAACATCTCTGGACTTCTTTATCTCTATCAAGAACAAAAAAAAAATGGTTTTCAGCTGAAGAGAGAAATGTATACAATAGATGCCAAGAAAGAGAAAAAATGATGGAAACACTAGAATACATACATTAAATCAACAAAAAAAAAAAACTTCAAGTTCAACAAAATGGACAAGTAAAAGATTAGCAAAGCATGTTTGAAAACCTGGCCTGCTTTGAGCAGATCCTTCCACTTGGATTGAACTTCCAGCCGTAAATGATTGCTGTTTCCTTTGACCATGATTAGGAATGGATCTCCCAGCAGTTCCTATAGTAGTCTTCATTGTTTTCTGAGTTTTTGCTTGCTTCAAAGTAGAATGTTGTATTTGAGCAGATCCTGCCACTGGGATTGAACTTTCAGTTGTCAATGATTGTTGTTTCCTTTGATCAGGTTTGAGAATGGATCTCCCAGCAGTGTCTACAGTAGTCCTCATTGTTTTCTGATTTTTTGCTTGCTCTAAAGTAGAGCTTTGCTCCATCCCCTGCTTTGGAAAACATTGCATGCTTCTCTTCAGTGTTTTAGAACTTCTCAACTTGCCTCGATACAATTCAGCATTGGATTTTATACTGTCTGGAACATCTACTAACCTTTATCAATTGAAAAGTATAATTATTAGTAGAAATTGTGATAACTGACTGAAGTAAGCATAGTGTGTTCTAATAGCTGAAAAGGATTGCAAGTTCCTTCTTTTGATAATTCAACTCAGCCAACTGTTGGAGCAATAGTATTCCTGAAACAAAAAATTGTACTTACGGTTCTCCACTAGAAGGTAGCATGGGAAGTTTGAGTTGTGGACTAATGTAAACATCTCTGGACTTCTTTATCTCTATCAAGAACAAAAAAAAAATGGTTTTCAGCTGAAGAGAGAAATGTATACAATAGATGCCAAGAAAGAGAAAAAATGATGGAAACACTAGAATACATACATTAAATCAACAAAAAAAAAAAACTTCAAGTTCAACAAAATGGACAAGTAAAAGATTAGCAAAGCATGTTTGAAAACCTGGCCTGCTTTGAGCAGATCCTTCCACTTGGATTGAACTTCCAGCCGTAAATGATTGCTGTTTCCTTTGACCATGATTAGGAATGGATCTCCCAGCAGTTCCTATAGTAGTCTTCATTGTTTTCTGAGTTTTTGCTTGCTTCAAAGTAGAATGTTGTATTTGAGCAGATCCTGCCACTGGGATTGAACTTTCAGTTGTCAATGATTGTTGTTTCCTTTGATCAGGTTTGAGAATGGATCTCCCAGCAGTGTCTACAGTAGTCCTCATTGTTTTCTGATTTTTTGCTTGCTCTAAAGTAGAGCTTTGCTCCATCCCCTGCTTTGGAAAACATTGCATGCTTCTCTTCAGTGTTTTAGAACTTCTCAACTTGCCTCGATACAATTCAGCATTGGATTTTATACTGTCTGGAACATCTACTAACCTTTATCAATTGAAAAGTATAATTATTAGTAGAAATTGTGATAACTGACTGAAGTAAGCATAGTGTGTTCTAATAGCTGAAAAGGATTGCAAGTTCCTTCTTTTGATAATTCAACTCAGCCAACTGTTGGAGCAATAGTATTCCTGAAACAAAAAATTGTACTTACGGTTCTCCACTAGAAGGTAGCATGGGAAGTTTGAGTTGTGGACTAATGTAAACATCTCTGGACTTCTTTATCTCTATCAAGAACAAAAAAAAAATGGTTTTCAGCTGAAGAGAGAAATGTATACAATAGATGCCAAGAAAGAGAAAAAATGATGGAAACACTAGAATACATACATTAAATCACCAAAAAAAAAAAAACTTCAAGTTCAACAAAATATGAAGAGTTACAGAAACATGAAACATTTATATACCCCAAAACATGGGGAAAAATTAATAAGCTCGGAAAGTCAGCATTGACAGTAAGTCAATAAGGCTATCAAATGAAAACCGATACTCCCTCCGGTCACTATTGTAAGCAAAAAAATGAGCTTAAATCTTGGTCACTATCATAAGCAAAAGTCATTAACTTTTAGACTAATTAATGCTTGGATTACTATTATATCCTTAATTTAATTTAGAAGCATTTAATGTTGATAGTTGATTCATCAAATATAACTAAGGATATTATAGTAAATTTTACTTTGATTGTACATGAAATCAAGAAAATTAATTACACTTAACTAACTTTCTTAATCTGTGTGAGAGTAGTTATTTTGGCTTATAATTGTGACCGGAGGGAGTATCACTTATTCCTATTCCACAAACGAGCTCCATTTTCAAACATACACACTCTTTAATTTCTAATGTTATTATACTCTCAAGCTTCTCTTTACTGTAATAATTTGAACTTGTTAGTTAGTACAAGAAGAGTGGTTTGTGTGCAACCAGTATGTAGCAACCAAGAAAATCACAATGGCCTCACGCATGAAGAATGCGGTGGTGAAAGGAGGAATAATAATAATGGAAAAGTAATGATTGGCAAAGCATGTTTGAAAACCTGGCCTGTAATCTTGCTTTTTATGTTGTATTTGAGCAGGTCCTGCCACCTGGATTGAACTTCCAGCTGTAAATGGTTGCTGTTTCCTTTTACCATGCTGGAGAATGGATCTTTCAGCAGTGTCTGTGGTAGTCATTGTGGTTTTTTGATTTTTTGCCTGCTTTAAAGTTGAATGTTGTATTTGTGCAGATCCTCCCACTTGGGTTGGACTTCCAGGTATCAATGATTGTTGTTTCCGTTGACCATGCTTGAGAATGGCGGTGTCCACAGTGGTCATCGTTGTTTTCTGATTTTTAGCTTGCTTTAAGGTGGAACTTTGCTCAATCCCCTGCTTTGAAGAACATCCATTGAAAAACATCCACTTTATAATTTCTGGAACATCTAGTAACCTTCATCAATTAAAATGTATAATTACTAGTAGAAATTTTGATAACAGACTGAAGTAAGCATAACGTGTTCTAATAGCTGAAAAAGACTGCACTAAGTTCCTTCTTTTGATAATTCAACTCAGCTATGCTGGAGCAATAGTGCTCCTGAAACAAGAAACTGAACTTACGGTTCTCCACTCGAAGGTAGTATGGGTTGTTTGAGCTGTGAACTAATGTTAACATCATCTCTAGACATCTTCTCTGTCAAGAACAAAAAAAAACGGTTTTGAGTTGTAGAGAAAAATGTATATACTAGATACCAAAACAAATGATGGAAAAACTAACAGTTCAATAAACTTACATATAATAAATCGCCAGAAAAACAAACTTATAGTTCAATAAAGTATGAAAAGTACAGAGACATAAAACATTTATATACCATCACTGTTCAGTTTAACATGTGTCTCAGCATCAGCTTTTTGTTCCCTGTTACTTTTTTTCTTCTTTGCCCCAGGCTGTGGGCCTTTCTTTCCCTTGTTTACTCTCATTGTGACAAAAATCCAATCTGTGAATCAACACAAACGCAATATACACACATAAATATAAATACATATACTGATTTAATTTAATACACACACATTATACTTTGGGCTTTCTCTTGGAAATTCCATACATTTGTCCATCGAGCTTACTAAAAGGAAACAAGTTAAAGAAAAAGGAATATCCAATTACCATCACATCCACGGAGGATAATATTATGCAACAGAATATGGCAAATGGCAACACAGCAGAACACTTAACAAAGGTAGAACAAGCACAACATGACACTGATAGGGTGGAAATCACAATCAAACAATTGAAAACATCAAATAAGTGATGTACTAAAGAAATTTAAAGTTCAACACGACTCTATGCCAAGAACAATAACCATCAGATTCAAGTTCAAGCCTATTGGAATATTTTTTATTTCACGGTAAATTAAATCTTTGACACCTACTCAAACCTCGCATTACCCCCTACGCATGACACTTTAACCAATATGCCAAAGAGGTAAATCACAATTGAGACAATACTGAGTAAAGTAACAGCTATTATATTTTTTCTTCCTACACATACAGCTAGAAATGAAAGAAAATACAAGTACATGAGAGAAAATACAAGTACAGGCTAGCGCAAGATTATTGCAATGTTGAGTCTTCAGTAGTTTTTTGGTTAATGAATGTTGAATGTGTATATTATGTTCCAATCAATTATTCCTGTTCTATTCATGATCATACAAGTACTTCCTCTCTCTCGTTGGCTCTTCTTCTCTCTCGTCCACACAGCTTTCACAAGAAAAGAGAAAAATCATACTTCTTCCCTCCTTCCTTCCTCCCTCCCTCTAGGATCGCTGTTGTCCTATCTTCCTACATATTCCCCTCTTTTCCCCATTTTTCCTTTCATCTCTTTTCCTTTTTCCATTTCCCTTTTTTCTCTCGTCCCATTTCCTTCTTTCCTTTCCCTCTTTTTTTTATCATTTCTTACCTTCTTTTCAACTCTGTTTTATCTCTTTTATATATATATATATATATATATATATATATATATATATATATATATAGAGAGAGAGAGAGAGAGGCCTCTATATACTTAATAATTAAAGAACTTAAGTAAAAAAGCAATAAAACTTAATCAGAGAAAAAAAAACATGTCATAACTGAACCAAAAGTAGGAAGAACGTGTTACATAACATATTAACATTTGCTTGTGAGCCAGAACAAAACAGAATGAAGAACATAATTTTATTCTTAAAAGGTGTCCAAAATCGGAAAATATCCCTAAAAAAGACATGTTTTTTAAGGTTTCGAGAAATTTCATCCTGAAACCATAATAGCTGTTGCGGTACTAGTTTGAGGCGCAATTAGCTGCCGCTACACCCACTATTGCTGATAACATCGCGTTGAACCCTATCACCCCTAACACTATGCATTCCGCTTATGTGAGCTATTGATAACATAGGATTCATCTACAAACCTTAGAATTAAAGACTAAGTAGCACTAACGCCTCTGAAAAAGGTGTGTCCATGTCGGTATCAAACACATGCACCGACACTTGTGATTACGTTCAATTTATTCATTTTTTTCAAATTATTACCGGTGTCGGGGTCGTATTCGCCGTGTTTCGTAGTTAAAATCAGTAAAATAAAAACCCTAATCAAAGTTAAAATCTACTGAATGAAACATAAAATCAATTGAATGAGAAAACATGTGTTCAGAACCAGCAAAATTGACATGAATTGAATTGAACCCGAAAAATATGCGCAAAGGAACTACTAGATAACAGTATCATCACATACCTCAACAATCGAATTGAAAAGCGCTCAGTGAAAACTGCGAGAGTAGCCGAAGGTCAGCACGAATGCTCGATGAAGAATCGGTGGAGAAATGTGCGAGAGATTCTGCGATCTTATGTTAGGTTTAAGGTTCTGCGATCTTATGTTACGATTGGTAATATGAAGCGCGAGAAAATTAGAGAAAATAAATATATTTTGTACGCCAAAGTCGAAAGAGAAAATATGTTTTTGTCATTCCAAATATCTCATACTAATTTTTAATCCTTCAAGAGAAAAAATTGTATTCAATAGTTTTCTAAAAAAATTTATTTTAACTTGTGATCACTTAGGTAACTTAGCGATGGTTTATATAACTTAGCGGAGAGAGATAGTGACAATTTTAGAGATGGTTTTATTAGTGATAATTTTTTAGTGACATTTTAGATATGAGAGACCAAAAATTAAAATTAAAATTAAAATTTTTAGAAGAACAATTATTTAAGGAAAATTTTTAGAAGAATTAAAAGTTAAATATGAAATATTTAGAGAAACCAAAAATATATTTAATCCAATGAATTATGATATATTCTATATTTCTTTTAATGCTTTGTTTATATTGATGGAATCAGATGGAACGGAGCAGAATGGGATGGAATAAAATGAAATTTCATTGTTTGGATAATTTTAAAACGGATAGAGCGAAATGGAGTGGTATGGATTTCATTCCATTCAATCATTTACCGCTGTTGAACCCCAAAATTTGTCCTCTCACTTATCAAATATTTTCTCACAAAGATCTCTCTTGGATCAAGACTGCACTAGGGTTGATCAACTCAAGACACCTCATTAAACACTGATGGCTGAAATTAGGGTTTAAGATTGCACAAGGACAATTGAACTTTCAATGCTTCATATGACTTCCATGGATCATTATGGACCCCCAAGATTACTCATGTCAAGTTTCAAGCCTTGAATCACATTTTTGCTCAGTCAATTGAGCAGTTGACCTAAAAATCAATTGTATTGGGAAAAAAGTCAATTGTGGTCAATTTATAGTCAAACTTCATAATTTTTTATCCACGTCAACATTATAAACTCATATGTATCATTTGATCAAGTTTGGACCACGACTCTTCAATAAATTTGATCAAATCATCAAAAGGGCAAATGGTCAAAATTATGGTTTTGACTGAGAAAGGGCAATTTCTGATTTTTGACCTAGCAAATAGTTAATTGGTTTGAGGCATGATCTCAAGATTTCAATTGCATCATTTTGACCTAATGGCATAACCCAAAATATTGCTCAAGATCTGTTTACAGTGATTTCTAGTAAGCAACCGCTAGTCTTCCAATTTATTGATTATTATTAGTTACTTGCAGGATCGACTAGATTGATCCTAGGACACATGTGTCATAACTCATTTCTATGTTCATACCCATTATCTTGATAAATTTATATTGTATGTTAATGTCGAATGTGAGATTCTTAAGAAATATCTCTAAGATTGTCTATAGAAATAAACTGACTGAATGTACAAAGGAAAGGCTTCGAATTAGACTTAAGATTTAATACTTGAATGTAAAGATAAGGAGTTTCTGAGAATATAACAGTTTCTGGAAATATGAAGTGTTTGAACAAAAGGATAAAGTAAAAGTGAAGTTTCTAAAGAGATAAATGTGTTTGAAAGCAAGTAAAACAAGGAAATAAAAGGAAATCGAAAGATTTAAGAGCAAAAGTACTGTAAAAGTGAAAGAAATATAAAAAGACTTGTATTGAAATTATAAAGAATCATGATGTTCAATACGTATATTTTGTCTTCTAACTCGTTTCCCTTAAGTCACGGTAATTTGAGTGTTTGAGACTTTTTAGTACACGAAATGAACACCCAATTCTAACATAAAAACACCTATTTATAGTATCCTGACCCTAACGGTCCTACTCTAAAATCATGCCACATTCGAAGCATGCAGGCTTCTTACGTTTACTGACTTCCACGCGTCTTCTAAGAATGGCACTCTTATTTGAAATTCGAACCTTGTGCCAGCGAAGTATTTTGCTAGTTTTCTTTGATTCGAATTAAACCATTTGCCTGGACCGCTTCCAATTCTGGCACATTTGCACAAAGGAACTCTTTATATTTTAAACACTAAAAATCCCAAATCGAAATCCATCATCTATCACTGGAAATCGAAGAGTCCTTTAGAACAATGGTTCTATATTTCCCACCAATATTCATCATTGATATCAACCTCTGTTGTACCCCAAAATTTGCCCTCCCATATTCTTCAAAGTTTTGACAAACATCATCTCAATTTGCTCAAGTCTCACTACGCCAAAAACTACTTTTTGCAGCGCCTCTACTAAAGCGCTTATTGAAAAAGCGCTGCCATAGCCTTCACAAAAAACAAAATTAAAAAAAAGGGAAACCTACGAAGGCGCTTTTTTAAAAGCGCTGGCATAGGGTTCCCTACGAAAGCGCTTTTCAGAAAGCGCTTTCATAGGTATTTGAAATATCTAACCTACGAAAGCGCTTTTGAAAAGCGCTCTTATAGGGAACCCTATGCCAGCGCTTTTGAAAAGCGCTTTGAAAGGGGGACCTACGAAAGCGTTTTTTACCTCAGAAGCGCTCTTATAGGGAACCCTATGCCAGCGCTTTTTAAAAGTGCTTTCGTAGGTTGTTTTTTATAATAAAATTAAAAATCCCTAAAGCTTCCTCATTTCATTTCTTTCGTTCAGATCGTCGCCGCCGTTCGTTCCTTCCTCTTCAGTCGTCGTCGCCGCCGTTCGTTCCTTCCTCTTCAGTCGTCGCCGCCGCCGGTCATTCCGTCTTCTCCACGTTGGTAAGATTCTGAATCAATATAGTGTAAATCAATATGCATGTGTTTAATGTTGTAATGAGTTAGTGAACTCTATTAGGTTGTAATGAGTTAGTGAACTCTATTCTGAATCTTCTGGTCCATCCAAGAACAGTTAAAAAATCAATGTGAAAAAAAATGAGGATACATTAATAGGAAGAGATAGTTAATGGACAAAATCACTATAATGTGATTCTTGTACGGATTTCATTAAATCTTGTGATTGTGAAAAAGGAACATGGATGAAAAAATGGAATTGAATTGTTTTGAATTGTCTGATTTGTAGTGAAGTGTGGTTCTGTCCTTTAGCTTATGGCAAAGGAATAATAGTGTAGTAATAGTGAAACTGCAAATTTTGTTGGAAGGGTGTTAGTACTATG